GTGGATTAACGACTATAAACTATATTATCTTGAATTTTATATTATTTTAAGCCTTTCCCCCCAAGCAAGGGGGTGTCACTAGCACGCAAGGGGTTACAGAGAGTGAAAGTAAGAGTAAAGAGTGGTGCATGAGGAAAGGACAAAAAGAAGGACAGTGATAAAGATCAAGGCATCAGAAGATGCCGATTGACATTACATTTGACTATTTGAAGATTATAACTATCAGGGAAAAAAGAAAGAGGAAGGGAGTTCCACTGTTGGGAAGTGCGAGAGAAGACTCTTTTGGTGTAGAAAGGGCGGTTATATTGAACTGATTCGACAGTGAAAGGGTGAACTTAAATTCATGCAGTTGGAGTACCAAAGAAAGTAGCTCGTCAGAGCAGTTGCCATGAAAATATTTTTAGAAAAGACAGAGGGAAGCCACGTTATGTTTGTGAGATAGTGACTGTAGTCGAGATTCCAGGTCAGGATCTATTACACTGCATATCCGTCTTTGGATTTTGTCGCGACCCTCGAGATGAACAGGTGGCGGGGGCACCAGACCTTATATGCAAACAGTATTCAATGCAAGGGCGAATGGTAGCATTGTAGGTCTGAAGAATGGACTCAGACCTTCTGGTGAGACACAGAGAACCAACTTTCCTTGCGGTAGATGTAGCTATTGATTCAATCTAGTTGTTCCACCTCAGGTCAGTGGCAAACGTGAGACCAAGAAGTCAAAGTGAGACGGTCTTGTGAAGCTGAGCATCAGCCATGCTGGTAGGAGGCAGGGAGGTTGCTCTATGGTGGGTAAATGAGAGCAGTTTCGAGGCATTAAAGTTTATAAACCATTTCCTGCCTCAAGGAACCACACATTGGAGGTTCTTTTTGAGACCAACAACAAGATTAACTTTGTCAGCAATACCGGATTTACTATTGAGACAGGAGTGAATGATAGTGTCGTCTGCGTAGATGCATTATTATGATATGTTCAGTTAGTATTAATTAATGGTCAGTATTTTCTGATGTCATTTTTATAGCGTTAATCAAACAGTTATTTTTATTCACTATTGCGCATAGGAAAAAATAGTGTACCAACTTTCCTTGTAGCAGACAAAGCTGTTGATTTAATATAGTTGCTCCATTCCATGTCAGTGGAAAACTTGAGGCCAAGAAAGTGTAATGTGTTGCTATCCTGGAGGTTAGCATCAGCTATGCAGATGTCAGGCAGAAGTTTCTCTGTGGCGATTATCTGAAAAGCTTAATAAAAATTAAACGTAAAATAATTTAGCAAAGTGTTACTACTGCGATGTGTATTTGGCCTTCAGCAGCAAGAACAAGATTATGGCCCTGATCCAGCCAAGTGGATACTTATAATGGTTATATTTGCATATTCCATAACAAAGCTGCATTCTTCTCTTTCGGCCATCTTCTCCCGGTCGAGTGATCTCTATTTAGTTTATTCGGAGATGAATAAATCTCTGCCAATCAGTCATGGAGAAAATCGTAAAGGAGATGGGGTTCTTTTAGTTTTGGTTAGGTACTTGCATAAGAGGACAACTCGGAATAGGAAAACCGTTTTGAGGTACTGGCACCTCCACTCCGTAAATACTTACTTGATGCAGAAACCACAGAAGTATTACCTAAAATAGTCATGCTGTAACTTTACACGTCATATGACAGTCAAATGTCGCCAAAGACATCGAGAGAGTATTATATTCACCTTTATTTATATAACTGTCTTTTTGTTTGTTTGTTTAAATATAAAACAACAAAGACATAACATGGAACTAAAGTAGATAAAAAAAAGTCAAGATTATTAGTTTGAGTAAATTTTCCAAAAAGACGACCAAGTATTCAGGTAAGTTTTTTTTCTTGAAATTGCTGTTGTAATGTTCTTATAAGGCTGGTTAGTAAGATTGTAAGAAAAACACTGGAACAAAAATGTTGAGTGAAGAAGAATTTAAGCACATAGATTGAGAATACAGTAGTTCAAGGCGACAAGCGTACGACTGGAAAGCGCTACGCCATTACGATCAACTTTTTGCTACTGTCCCATGAGTAGACGTTTGAGATGTACCGGATAGATGCGTTTATGTTTCAATAATAGTGTAGAGTAGGTTAGACAGCCTTTCTACACGACAATTCTCGTAACATAAATGTTTGACCTTCGCATTGCTACCGATATTTTAATGATGTAAGATTTATCGATAGAAGAATAATTTTGTCATCCTGAAAAGATGACGTTCTTTTCTCGCTCTTTTATCTGTTCTCTCTCTCACTCTCTCTCTCTCTCACACACACACACACACACTGTTTCTGTCTTTTTCATCAGTTTGAAATGCATTCGCAGTAGTTGTAGAAATCTGATACAAAGAAAATCCTTACGGCAAAATCTTTATTGAAAACTAACAACTTGACGCATTGATCAGCTGAAAAGTTTTTACTCCAAACATAAAAGAACACATCATTTTTTTATTATTTGTTCCTCTAGTTATTCTGTGTGTATTTGTGCGTGTGTTTGTGTATTTGTGTGAGTTTGTTGTGTGTGTGTCTATTTGTGTATTTGTGTGTGTGTGTGTGTTTTAAGCAAAAACGGTGTTCAATAATAAATGAAACGGAATGGCTTCTCCCACAAACAGCTTTTCTTTTGTTAAAAATTTATTTCCGCATTATTTTTTTTGCATCTGTGATCTGTATTATTAATCCTGGGCTTTCAAAGGCGCGAAATATCGGTTATCGAAAATGAATCTGAAATTGAGAATCAGTGTTCAAAATAAAACAAAAATAGACTTTAAATCCTGGTTTTACGGTCTGTTCCCGTATTGACGTAATAAAAGTAATTATACGGTTTTGGACCCGATTCAACAGGGTTAATTAAAACATAAATGAACAAGATAGTTATTGTAAAAAAAACACATAAATAAAAATTAAAATAAATGAACGAAACATTATTTTGAAACCAAGTTCAAGATGTATGATAGAAACAAAAAGAAACTGTCGCTGACAATCAGAAAGAAAAATCTTCAATTTTTACTTTATAGAAAACATTCACACTGGGCACAATGAAGGTCAGATGTGCAGAGAAAAGCAGCAAGAAATCTACATAAGTTTGAGCAAATACTAAATAAAAGTTTCTGACTATCATTTTTTAGTGGCGGCGTATTTGGCTCAGACCTTCTGAGACTGACCTTAAGGTTAGATGGTAGACAAAATAGAGATGTTAATTTTGATTGGCTGAGCCAAACGTGAGAAATTTAGAAAGTCTTTTCAAGGAGTTAAGTTTTATGCGTTGAAGACTGCAGACGTGTGCGGAAAACTGCACCCCAGTGGGATCGGATAGCAACTCCTCTGGCTTGTTAAAAAATGTAGCCATCGGCGTGCTTACTAAAACAGATAAGTTAAAAATCTCTTTTTTTTTAAGTTCTCATTTCATCTCCGATCAAACCAAATAGCGATCACTCGACCGGAAGAAGACGGCCGAAAGAGAAGAATGCAGCTTTGTTATGGAATCGATCCCGTCAGCTAAAAGCCCTCTCCAGAAGAGTGTGGGAGTATACAACACATATTGATGAAGGAACAACGATCATAACAAGAATCATAAAGGAGAAAATATTACTGAGAACAAAACAAACAGGAAGTTATGGAGAACCGCTATCGTCTATGCATGAAAGGACATGACAGAATGTTAGAGAGTGAGAAAGATAGAGAGAGAGAATGATAGAGAGAAAGATAGAGAGAGGTGGAGGTGCAGATAGAAAGTTTCTTAATACAGCCGTTTTTATATTTTATGACTAATCCATGCTTAGGAACAAGCATCTAACATTTGTCATATGTTTGATCTGCGACATTGAAAACAGTAAAACTTCAACTGACGCTTAGTTTCATATCTCGTCAAATGAGATCCCGTTCTGGACAAAATTTACACTTAAAATGTAACGAAAATGTGGCTTTGGAATTTATCCTATTTTAAATTCTAGAAATTTTAATCTCCCAGCTTTTTACCATATTTAAAAATTTTAATTCTGGCACATGTTCACAAGCATTGAGCAACCAGTTAGGGTCGAACGCACTCCGCGGTATTTGTGCAAATGTGAACCAAACGAGATCGCCACGCTGATAATCGCTGGTTAACCTATATACCCCCAAATAATACTATCAAGAAGGGTTTTATTACTTTGTTATTTAGAGATATAATAAAGAGATCAAGATAAGTCATTATAGAAAAAAATATTTAATTTAGACGTGAAATTTCAACACAAATCAGTTCATCATCAGTTAGGGGCCATACGTGATACACGCTTAGGCGATCATGTATCTTTCAATACGTGACTGACGAGGCAGATCTTTTCCTGCAGTAGGTTGCTATTTCTTTCTGCGATAGACCAGTTGCCATCCAAGTCTATAGAATCCGCTCAATCCTGCTGTTTAGCTATAGCTGAGGGGAGAAGTAGATTCATACCTTTCCCTAGGGTAATAACGCGTAAGTAAATGGATTCGAACTCGACTTTCCAATTCCTCAATCCGATCCGCTATCCATTACTCCATTACAAATAGCTATCCGTTTATCGAGCGAGATAATGGAAGTACCCTGTTTGGTCTAATTCAGTCCTTTTGAGAGAAGCTCTGGATTTGCTTTTCCGTTTGATCGCTGCATAGTACCCCTCTTCTTAGGTGTTCAACGAAGGTCTGAAGTTATTCTGTTGGCTCCACACGTTGTCCCATAGTTTCGCTTGTGCTGTACTTGCAGTTAATGACTCCTTTTTGAACAACATAGCACCAGCCGCCACTGTCGTCTGCTAGATTGTTCCTACCTACCGGGGTAGATATCTGCTAGTTTCAGGTCCCTCTTACAGACGCCCTTCAAACGTAATACAGTGATACTAGCTGAACGGCATCCCATAGCTAGCTCGCCGTCTAGGTCTTTTGGTATATGGAATATCAATATAATGGAATAGAAGCACGAATTAAAGCATGTTTGTTCAAAATATACCAAATGTGATTGATTTACGGTGACTTCACGTTGAAGCACCGGTTCCCGTTTGATCAATGAAGCTAAGCAACGTCGAGCCTGGTTAGTATTTAGATGGGTAATCGCTTGGAAATCCCAGTTGATGAAAAATTGTATTTGCGGATGGTGTAATGGATAATGATTTGGAATTGTTAATCGGAGAGCCGAGTTCCACTTCAAACTGGGTTCGTTATATTCACTTAAGCGCAAAAACCTTTGGAAAAGATATGGATCCATCTTTTCTACCCCCAGCTATGGGTTAGTAAGGCTTATATCACTAAACAATTATTATCGCCAAAAGTAAAATAAAATTGCCCACAAAATATTTAGATTTGCCATTTAATAACCGATAGTGTTTGATATGCCGCGAAAAAAAAACAAAAAAAAACACTAACAACTAAACACCCAAATGTGATTAATATGATTGAAATTTGGCGGTTGCCGAGGTAAAACAGTGAAATTTTCTAAAACCATCTTCGTCAATATCGCTCATTGTAATAAGATGCATTGTCCTACTAAAAAATATTGCCATTGTAGAAGACCGTCGAATAAACTTCAATTATATAACATCACAAAATACCATCAATGTGGATGATAGGATCAATCGTTTCCAGAAGAACGTTTATTGGTTAGTTTTGTTCATTTTTCAGACTGAAACGACGAAGGAAAATCAGCAATTAAGTTATAGCTTATACGAATATTTTCTCATAGAGCAGATGGAATTTTATCTATTACGTTTATTAACATGTAAAAAAAAAAAGAATATGATTGTTACAACAATTTCTCTTTGTACGACTCCCTGTTTATCATCAGTGATGTTTTTCGCCGAGGTTCAATAAGGGTTTCGAGTCTTTCAAAATCGTACCCCGTCTCTGTGGTGACCTACCCGATATCGTCGTGTACCATCCATTTCCTACAATTTTCTCCACCTCTCCGATCACACACTGCAACTCCTTATAGCAATTTATAGTCCAATCACGGATAACATCCGGTTCACCAGCAATATACACTATATATATATATATATATATATATATATATATATATATATATATATATATATATATATATATGTATGTATGGGATAGCAATATATAATTTGTTATATATCAAGAACAATTTGAAAAATGTTTTTGTGTGATGAGTTTACTATAGGTTTTGATTAATCAAACTTATTTCGATGAAGTCCTAAGGGGCGAAACGCCTCACACGAAGACTTTTGCCACATACATCATTCAAATATATATATAATATATAAATATATATATATATATATATATATATATATATATATATATATATATATATATATATATATACACACAGAGTGCGATGGATAAATTGTTGTCTAAAATACGAAAAATGAAAATAACACCGATATCTCATCTTAACAGATATATTTACCAAAAATATTTTGAAATATTCAAGATTAAATTTATTCAATAAAATCGCTATTGACTTCAACAAATGCCTCCAAACGACTTCGGAATCTCATGCCACTCTTTTTAACGGTCTTCTTGTTTAAGTTTGTTCTGTTGCTATAAGCCTTGTCTTCAGATTATCTTTGGTGTTACGAGGAGTTTTGTTGGTCTCTCGTTCAACTGCTCCCAACACATTATAATCAAGTGCGTTGCTCTCTGTGTCAGATTTAAATGGTGATGTGATCTTATTAAATAATAGTTTAACAGTCTATTATTTTTAGTGGGACGTGTATCTCAGCTCCGACTTCCGTTCATATGTAAGACATAATAATGAAGTCAATTTTGATTGGCTGAGCCTGAGTGGGAATAATAGATATGTTTTTTCAATCAGTTGTTTCTTGACCGTCTTGAAGCGATGTAGAGGAATTCTCTTTCGTATCTGAAACGTCATCCCGGTGATCGGGGCGACCCCCACCGCTGAATATTTAGATAATATAGATGTGGTCATTAACAAAAATAGTCAAGTTAAATTTCTCTGTGTTGAAGGCTTTCATCTCTGGGCCCAAAACTTTCTGCGGCCCCTGGTCGGGAGAGGATGACAGAGAGAGGTAGAGAGAGAATCACTGCGTTCTCCTGATTATGTGGCATGGTGAAGAGTTATTTTGCCAGTAACGGAAGATACAAGAGATACTTAAAATTTAGATCTTACTGTGAATTGTGTGGCCGTATTTTGGCGCGGTCTCTTTGTAGTTTGTCAGCACGGTAGTGTTTTGTGTGTGGAACTGAATGAGGATAACAGCTAGAGTGACGTGGACCCTGATGACTTTTGTGCGTCTCATGTTTGAGGCCGTGAGTTTTATACACATTTTCATAAGAACATTGACCCTAGAATTATATTTCTTTCTTTCTTTCTTCCTAATTGACCCTAAAAAGCCAAGTCGTATGTCTTCTACTACGTCCGCATGATATTTTGTAGTAACAACCTAAATCATGATGAGATATTTTATTAAGTATTTTAGTGGACACGACAACCTGATTCAAGTTTACTAATCTACATTTCTTTAGAGGTGTCCTGGTATATAGCTTAATCAATTTAATTCAGTTTATTTATATTTCTACTTTTGATTCTTTTATTATTTTTCCACTTTGTTATTGATTGCATAGCATTGATCAGATATATAAAAATGTATATATATTATTCTCCGATGCGTGCGCACACACACACACACACACACACACACACACACACACACACACACACACACATATATATATATATATATATAGGGTGCGTCATGTATTTCAGAACTAGATTTTTTTGTGTATATATATATATATATATATATATATGCGTTTGAAATTTTAGAAGTTCATATATATATATATATATATATATATATATATATATATATATAAAAGTGAACATTGAAGTAAATACTAAGAGGCGAGTGGCTGTTTCATGCTGGACGCAATAGTCAGGCAGCCTGACGATTGCGTCCAGCATGAAACAGCCTATCGCCTCAGAGTGTTAACTTCAATGTTCACTTTTATATTTGCATACGCTCTATATATGATATTGAGCACTTTATCCCATAAATATAGCACACCTTAAAACTATATTTCTTCTTTTATATATATATATATATATATATATATATATGTGTGTGTGTGTGTATGTGTGTGTGTGTGTGTGTGTGGCTGTTTCCGGTATTATTTATTATTTCTATAAAAGTTATTTCTACTGAGTGTACGTGTTTGAGTTGACATATCCGCTTTTTATTTTCTCGTTTTTTTTTTAAGCTTCTGACCCAAAGGAGGAGTTCTTCGCCTTGACTTCTGGACAGATGTAACATGTCCACTCGGAGCATCACATATGTATTTTTTCCCTAGATTGAATGTCCCTTTATTCAGAGTAATGGAGGTAGACGTTTTCCGCCTGATAGTCAGTGAATCGAATCTTCGAGTAACTCCAAAGAAGGCTATCCTTCCAGAAAGTGTATAATATCGGGACTATTGAACTGCCTTTTCTGAATGGTTTCTGGATCGTTCAGTAGTCTCCGGTAAGGCCCCTCGCTGCCATGATGAAAGGTACTGCTACGGCTGTATATCTAGACGATTCCCTCCAAGTTATTTATACATGCAACTCCTGTTGGTGGGTCTGTCTCTCTTCCTACTAGCCTTCCACCAACTAATGCACACACGAATAAAACTATCAAAGCCAAAAAAACAAAAAAACAAAAGCCAAAAAAAAAAAAAAATACTTGTTGGACTATGAGATAGCATACGAGGACTCTACGTTCCAACTTTCCGAAAATGGAACACCATATTCATCAGTCTAAACCCAACTTCCTGTTACTTTCTGAAACTGGTATCAACGCTTCATGCGCACTAGGGGAGTTCATAATCCCGGGCTATTCACCTCTTCTAACCAAACATGACCGCCGAAATTGTCACGACCACGAACTCGGAGCTTACATCAAGGACGAGTTTCCCTGTGGCAGGGACGCAACAAACGAGAAACCCGATCTCCCGTATATGTGCTTCTGCGTGGCGCTTATCCATACTGCCATATTCATCTTTGCTCTCTACCGCCCTCCAGATGAAAGGAAGGTTATCTTTCACCGAATATCTGAGAAGATTGATAATATCATTACTCAATTCCTCTCAGCCAGCTTTCATATCTGCAGTGACTTCAGTGACCACCATAAAGTGTGGCTAGTGCACTTCAACAAAACGGATGTTGAAGGCAGATATTGAAGAGACTTCTCTATCGACTATGAACTAACCCGGATCATCGGATAACCTACCCAGGTCCTGGACGCAACAGGACAACATGTGAACCTTTTCGACCTGTTCCTAACCTCCTGCCCTGATAAATGCTTATCAAAAAGCACTAGGCACTAGGCACATCAGACCACTCCCAATCAGTGTTCAGATTATCAATGGCCAGTCCTCCGGAGCACTAGAGATCAACGCAGATGTCCCCCAGAGGTCACTCCTCGAACCAACCCTCTTTTTGATCTACATAAATGATCTGCCTAAGATTATACTTAGATCATTTATAAACATCTATGCCGATGAGACGATTATATACGGGCGCACCTTGAAAACTCTCGATGGCCAGAGATTGGCAACTTATTTCTCTTTTGATCTTACACAAAGTACCCAAAGGTTAAAAAATGGCTGGTTATATCCCATGCCTCGAAGACCAAGCCAGTTACATTCCATTATCACCGATCGAACCCCGAATTATTATCAATCAGATTGAACGGAGTTCATCTCAAGGAAACACCGTGCTTTGAATGACTGTTGGGCCTGAAACTCACGCCCGACCTGAAGTGGAACACGTACATACGATCCATTGCTAAGAATGCAGTTAATTTTGAAGGCTCTTTACCCCGCTCCTGTAAGTACCTCCCTCAGGCGGATAAGTAAAGTGCTCGGACATACTACATTCCATGATCCCGCTGAGGTACACATTCAGAGCAAGAATACACCATGCCACTTACATAGTAGCAAACCACTCACATTCCCTACAATTCCATCGGTGAAAAGTAAGTTTCCTCCCTCGAACCACTGCTCTATGGAACCGACTCCCAAACGAATGTGTCTACGCTCACTACAATCTTAACCTGTTCAAGGCTATTGCTAATCGTTATCACTACTACATACAAAAATGCCCTCC